CCAGGGCCAGCCCCGTGCCCAGGGGTCCCCTCTGCCCCATGCCCTGGGGTCCCTTCTTTGGCCTCTGTCCCATCCTGCCCTGTCCCACCACATTCCCTGCRTGCTATTCCATGTCCCATCCCATCCGCTCTGTGTCCCATCCGCCCTGTGTCTGTCCACTCCCATCCCATGTCCCATCTATCCCATCCACTTGCCATGTGTCCAGTCTTATCCTGTCCCATCCCTTCCTGCTCATGTGTCCCATCCACACATGTCCCATCCCTTCCCATCCCATGTCCTATCCCATTTGCCCTGTGTTCTATCCCGTCCCATCCCCTGACCTCCCCTTCCTGTCGCAATCCCAACCCATGCTCTTCCATCCCATCCCATCCCATCCCATCCCATCCCATCCCATCCCATCCCATCCCATCCCATCCCATCCCCTCTGTCAGCCCTGACAGGGGCAAGGACCTTGTCTGCATCCCGATCCCTAAGTGTGGAACTGGCACCTGACATCAGAAACTCCCGCCCTTTCCCATCCCGGCTCTGATCCGCACCCTTATCCGGACCGTGGGCAGCTGTCAAAAGCAGGAGCCCCATCCCTGCCCTCCGCCCCCTTGTCCTGCAGGGGAGGAGAAGCCGCCCTCGGGATCGCTTCTGCCCTTGCTCTTCCCGGCTGGTTTCCTCCTCCTTCCAGGGATCCTATCTGGGACACGGAACGAGAGAAATCCCATCCTTCCACRCCTGCCAAGGCAACGCGCTGGCTCGCGAAGCGCGGGGAAGTGCTGCCCTCGTGCAGGACGGGCAGGGCAGCGCGCGGAGCCCTGGCACCGCGCCCGGCAGCTCGGAGCATCCCGCGGGCGAGCGCTGACGGCGGAGCATCCCGCGGAGCATCCCGGAGGAGCATCCCGCGGAGCATCCCGGCGGAGCATCCCGGAGGAGCATCCCGCGGAGCATCCCGGCGGAGCATCCCGGAGGAGCATCCCAGCGGAGCATCCCGGAGGAGCATCCCGTGGAGCATCCCGGCGGAGCATCCCAGCGGAGCATCCCGGAGGAGCATCCCGACGGAACATCCCGGCGGAGCATCCCGGAGGAGCATCCCGGTGGAGCATCCCAGCGGAGCATCCCGGAGGAGCATCCCGGAGGAGCATCCCGACGGAACATCCCGACGGAACATCCCGGCGGAGCATCCCGGCGGAGCATCCCGGCGGAGCCGCAGCCGCAGCCGGGCACTAGAGGGCAAGCGCGGCCCCGAAACGCTGCCCGCAGCCCCGAAACGCTGCCCGCAGCCCCGAAACGCTGCCCGCAGCCCCGAAACGCTGCCCGCGGCCCCGAAACGCTGCCCGCAGCCCCAAAGCGCAGCCCGGTGCTGCAGCCGCGCTCAGCCCCGAGGCGCCGCTGCTCCCGGCCCCGCTCCCGGGACCCCCGGCAGGACCCTGGGACGCAGCCCGTCCCGGCTCGCTCTGCAGCGCTGCCCGCCGGCCGGCCCGAGGCCGCGCGGATGGGCTGCAGCCCGGCGCGGCGGCATCGCGCCCTGCGCCGCCCCGGGCCACCCCTGGGCTGGCCCGAGCGGCTCGGGTTTCTCTCAAATTGCGGCTCAGATGTCGCTGCCAAGTGACACGGGAGCTGTAGGAAACCTTCCTGCCAGCGCCGCCCCCTCCCAGCCCCGCTGCTTCCTGCTCTGACGCTGCATCCCGGCGCTTCCAGCCCCAACGGCGGCTTTTCCATAGAGGGAGAGGCGGCTTTGCTTAAATCTGCACCCTACTGACAGCTAAATCAGCACCAGGCCACGATGCTCCTGGGAGCAGGGAATGGTCCTGCCGGGCATGTCGGGAATGGGCAGCTGGTGTCCCCCCTGCCTGAAAGCCCATGGAAAAAGCGTGGTGAAAACCCCTCGGGGTGTTTTCCACCCTACTTAGCCCAGCTCTGCAAATCAGAGCAGTCAGGGGATGCTGAAACACAGGGAAAACGGCAGCGAAAGTGCATGGTGAATCCCATGGGGCAGCCCACTTGGGAAAACTCATCCCGAGGCAGAGATGGGCTGGGCGTATTGGAAAAATCCATCCTCCTGGTCCACTGCTCAAGGGCTGGCAGTCCTGCCATCCAGGAGCTGTTACTGCAGCTGAACTTGCACCAGTGCGGGTGAAATCCCAGCCTGGGCTTCCCTGTAAATTATCCTGTATGAAACACGAACATTAACTGCATCTGGCAGCAAGCCAGGGGATAATCTGGAAATATTTGCCACACACAGGCTGAATGCAGCATCTCTATGTTATTTATTTTAATGCAATTTTAGCCCATACAGGCAACGAATTCAGTGGCTGCCACTTTGCCAGCAAGTCTCATCTCAGAGATGCCAAGGGGCTTGCAGCAAGGCAAGGAGCCAGGGCCCTGGGTCTTTTCCTTGGAGTCCAATAATGAAGTATTTGCCCACTCAGGAGCACACACTTGTCATTTTAGGGCTATAAGCCCCGCAGAGAAGAGCAGGAACACAGGGAATGGGGAGTCTCCCTGAGGAGGAGCCCCTGCAATTCCCGCACTCCGGACTGGCAGCTCCGTGCCCGATTCTTGGCACGCAAGTAACAACAGGGCTGCTCAGAGACATCTGACAAGCGACGGCTCCGCAGCATCCCTGGGGAGCGTGCCAGGATCCCAGCTGCCACCCCTGCCACCACTGATCACCCTGAGGAGCGGGATGACACTCGGTGCCAGGCGGAAACCTTTCCCGGYGAGGAGCAGGGCCGGGAAGAGCCGTGAGAGGGAGCCCCAGGCAGCCGAATGCTGGGAAGCTGGAGCTGCCGCCCAAATCCAGGCAGGATAAGGTCCTTCCCGGTTCACCAGAGCCCTCACAAGGGGCTTGGAGCTGCACAGGCAAGGCAAGGAGCTTGGGCCCTTCTCCCAGTGCTGCTGCAGGATGAAGCTATGGGGATCCTTGCTTTTGGACCGACGCCAGCGGTTTTCCAGGAGCCTTTTCCACTGCACTCAACCAATTCCAGCTGCCACGGCTCGCGGCAACRCGCCGGGTTGCTGCAATCAGTTAATTGGTGCTAATTAGCTCCGGCATCTCCTGCTGATCACACAAGAGGCACGGTGGTTGGGAATGCTCTGGGCATCGGTGTTCCTGGTGGGATCRGACATGGAGCTCACCCTGTTTGTGCCCCAAGAGCTGCTGTTCCCAGAGTTTCCACCATTGGGTCAATTAAAAAACACTATAAAAGGGTACAACGGCTGTTTTCCCCTCATTTGGCACTGCAGGGTTCAGGTCATGAGTGCTTCCTAGTTCTGAGTGCATCTTCTRTCTGGGCCAGCCTGCTGCTCCATCTGCAGCAAAATGGGGCAAAATGGGACAAAATGGGGTGTTTGTAGGAACAGGGTCACCACGTGCTGCTGCGGGAGTCCGGGGCAGCCCGCTCTGCTGCCTAATGCAATTAACTGCATTAAACTCATTAGCCTTCCTCCCAGCTYGGACCCAGCCACCGAGCACATCCAGCAGCTCTCCGAGCACGCGCTCGCTGTCAGACGCACCAATATCGCATGGAAAGGAAAAAATGCATGAGAATAAAACGTGATAATCTGCCCTCAGACTCCTGGCTGCGTAATCCCCTTGCAAAGAGGAAATCCCTTGTTTACCGTCGGAGCGCTCGGCTTCAAGGGGAATGGGAAGTGCCTTTGGTGCTTGGCCTCCTGTGCTTTTAATGCAGCAGCAATAAACTCATCTTGTGTAAAGCCTAATGGATGGATGATTTCATGCACTTGTATCGTGCCGCCTTCACCTGTACCTATAGGCCATAAAGGAGGCAATAAAACGCTGCTTGTGAAYGTTGCCGCTTGGCTCCAATGCGGGGAGTTTTAAAAAAGGCAACAAAAAGCCTCTGTTCCCCAGCAGGTGCAAAACCCTCCCTAGCAYGGGCATGCAAGGGCCCCACGGGCACGGGCCATGGCCTCTCCTTTGGGGCTTTTCTGTCCAATTTGAGCACAACAGGCAGAATTGGATGTGTTGGCTCGAGGCCCCATGGTGCCCAAGTCAAGAGCTGCTGTGAGTGCCRGAGACGGCAGCTCTCTGCTCCCCAAATCAACCTGGGTGCAATAAAAGAATTGCTCTCCACAGGCTACACTAACAGAGGAGAAAAGAATCCCCCTTTAGATACAATATGATGTTTCATAGATTGTTTTTTCAATAGGAGCTTAGCTAAAAATCCTGGGAAACTTTAGCTGGCATCCAAAGCACAGCTGCGGGAAGAGCAGCTGGTGCCGTCGCTCCGCTCCCATCGTGGGGAAGCTGCGGCTGCCCTGGCACTTGTGCTGGAGAGCTGGGAAAGAAGGAGAAAAAAGGGAAAAAAAAAAACATAGACAATTCCAAGTAAGTAGCATAGATCACGT